GGTTTTGACTGATTTCGGGTTTTGTGCTTAAAATCGATATTTTTCAATTGGAATTCTTACGTTTAGCATAATATAATGATAAAATCTGAACTTGGTAGATTTGGAACACTCGGAAGTCGTTTCGAAGGGCAAAGGCATTGCAAGCTAGATTTCGGGTCGGATTGAGGTGAGTAATGATTTTAAATGCTGTCCTGAGGGTATGAAACCCCGGAATTCACAGTGTACGGCTATGTTGAGGTGACTTAATAGCTAATTATTTGATATTATTATATTTTGGGCTAAAAGCCATATGTGGGCTTCGTGCCAGCTGTTTGAACCCTTAGAGAATTTTTAAATGATATTTCCTCACTGATTGATTTCATAGTGGTGCTCAGTCATACTATATTTTTCTATTTTAGAAACTCAGCTGTATTATTTTGTTCTAAATACATTAAATGATATTTTCAAAGGTATTTGAGTTGAGCTTCATATTTTACTATGGCCCGAAGGGCTTATGAGATTCTGACTGAGTAAGCCCTCTGGCCTGTGTTGTGAGGATACATTTGGGTCGGGCTGCACGCCGCAGCAGTGATACATTGATTATGATAATGAGGTCAAGGGCCTGAGATTGTACGCCACGAGGTGGCTTGAGATATTGATATGAGGCCGAGAGCCTGTTTATGATGTCACGAGATGACTTGATATTGCGCTTGGGCCGTAAGGGGCCCCTCCCAGAGTCTGTACACCCCCAGTGAGCGCGAGTACCCATTGTGATATGAGATATAGCCCGAGGGGCTGGTATTGTTCTGTGACATTGGCCCGAGGGGCTGATTCTGCTGTTACGTGCCCGAGGGGCAGATATTATATGTTTACTCTTCTGTTGTTTTCCTGCATATTGTTTAACTGTTTGGAAGACGTTTACGAGATTTCACTGTTTAATTATAATTACTGATTTGTTATGCCTCTTGTAGCTTAATGTTGTGCCTTACGTGGATTTATATTACTCATTCTTCATTTATTTTTATTACTCACTGAGTTGGAAGTACTCACTTTACTCCTTGCACCTTGTGTGCAGATTCAGGTATTTCTGAACTCGGTAGCGGGTTGGTTGCTCAGAGTCAGAGTCATCAGAGTTTAGCAAGGTTGCCCGACGTTCGCAGCACTGCTTTTCTCCCTCTCGATTTCACTAGACTGTATCTAGTACATTTTAGACTCTTGTTGTATTCGGACCTTAGTAGATGCTCATGAGTAGTGACACCCCGATGTCGGGCAGTGTTGGGTTTGTTTTCCGCAAATTATACTGTTAACTGCTTATTTTTGAGATTTTATCATGTTTACGACTTAATACTTATTATGTTACTGTGACGAACCGACCCGTCGTCACGTGAGTTACCGCTCCGTTTTTCCCATATTTCTGCTTCTTTATGCTTCATTATAAGTGTCTTGTGTGAACGAGTTGATTTGGATGGATTTTAGAAGGAAATGAGACACTTAGTCTCTTTAAGGAAGGCTTGTTTTGGAAAAAGTCAATCGGATGTTGACTTATGAGTTAGAGGGCTTGGATATGGATTACGATGATTCGGTTAGCTTCGGGGGATGATTTGTGACTTAGGAGTGTGATCGGAAGTGATTTTGGAGGTCCGGTGTAGAATTAGGCTTGAATTGGCGAAGTTAGTATTTTGGCGATTTCCGGTTGATAGGTGAGATTTTGATCCGAGGGTCGGAATGGAATTCCGAGAGTGGCTGTAGCTTCGTTAGGTGATTTGGGATGTGTGTGCAAAATTTCAGGTCATTCGGAGGTGTTTCGGTTCAGTTTTTGATCAAATGCGTGTTTCGGAAGTTTTAGAAGAACTTAGGCTTGAATTCGATGCGAATTGATGGTTTTGGTGTTGTTTGAGGTGTTTTGAGGATTGGAACAAGTTTGGATGATCTATTAGGATGTGTTGGTGCTTTTGGTTGAGGTCCCGGGGGCCTCGGGTGAGTTTCGGATGGTCAAACGGACCAATTTTGGCACTTGGGAGTTGTAGGTTTTTCAATTGAGTGTTGCGGAGATTTAACCCTTCGCTTTCGCGTTTGAGGCCTCGTGATCGCAAAAGGTTAGGAGTTATTGCATCGCGTTCGCATAAGGAGCTACGCGTTCGCGTATAAGGATTGGGGTCCAGTGGTGAGTTGTTCTTCGCGTTCGCGGTTGAGTGACGCGTTCACGTAGGTTTAGGGCCCAGGGCTTCGCGTTCGCGTGTTGGACACCGCGTTCGCGAAGGGTAAATTGGCCAGTGGAAAAGTTTGTTCATCGCGAACGCGAGTGGGCCCTCGCGTTCGCATAGAGTAAAGTGTCAGCTGGCAGAAGGGTTTTTAATAATATTTCATCCGCGAGCGAAGTTATTTTTTCCACCATTTTTTAGCATCCTTGAGAGCTTTTGGACGGGAGTTGAAGAGGGTTTTGATTGAGATTGATTGGAGGTGAGTCCTATGATCTAAAAACATGATTTAATTGTAGAATCAACCTAGAAATTCATGAAAACTTAGCAAAAAGGGGGAAGAACTAGGGCTTGAGTTTTGATATTTCAAATTGGGTTTTGATGGGTCATTTGAGCTCGGATTTGGGAGTTCTTGGTATGTATGGACTCGTGGCGAGATAAGGAACCCGTTGATGTGAAAATTTCTGAGTTTCGAGAATTGAGCCCGGGGCTCGGGTTTTGCTAATTTCAAGATTTTTGCTATTTTTTGATTCTTTTCGATTGGGTTATGTTCCTTTGGCATATTGTGACGTATTCGTTGTGGTTTTGTTAAGATTTGACGCGCGAGGAGGCCGAATTGCGAGGCAAGGGCATAGCGAGCTAGAGTTTTGGCCGGTTTGAGGTGAGTAATAGATGTAAATGATGTCCTGAGGGTTTGAAACCCCAGATTTGCACATTCTAGCGCTATATTGAGGTGACTTGCACGCCGAATAGCGAGCGCGGGGTAGAGCACCATTGGGGATTGTGACTTGGTCCGTCCCGATAGATAAATTTACTGCGTATTTGACTGAATTTCACTTGTTATCATTATAATTTGAGCTGATTGCCATATTTGGGCTTCGTGCCAACTGATTGAATCCTTCAGGGATTGCTATTACTGGTTTCTTACCATTTTTACATATTATTGAACTCAGTCCTAGTAATTAATACTGTTTTTTTGCAAATTCAGCCACTTTTTCTCAAACTTGAAACTTAATTAATATTTCTAATGAAGTTAGGGCTGAATATTTCTATATTACTGTGCCCGAGTGTGATTCTAGACTGAGTAT